GGGGGGCCGGGGCCGGGGGGGAGATGGGCACCAGCAGTTCGCTCCGGGGCTCCTCCGGGAGAATGGCACTGTTCGCCCGCGGCACGCTGGTCTTGCCAGCCTTCTTCTGCTCCTGCTCCCTCTCCAGGCGGAGCTTCTCGTGCTTCTCATTCTCCTCTGAAAGAGAAACACCGACAGTGATTAATGGCACTTCCCTGAACTTCCCCATCCACGGGCCTCTAACCAGGCTGGTGATAGCTGCCAGCCTTTCTGAGAGGGAAATGGAGGCCACGGGGGTAATGCGGCCTGGCATATGAACATCCTGAGCCCATGGCAGGACCCGTGGCCCTGGAGATCCGTCCCGTGTCCCAGTCACCCTGCACCTTCCACTCTTTGCCCTTTCACTCCAGCACAGACTGTTAAAATATGAACCATGTGTTGCCCCTGTGTTTGGCACTCCAGACCAAGTCATCTCCACCGTTTGCGGCAAGCCCGACGTCTCCAGGGACGCCACGATCACGGCAGCAGATGACAAGCAAGACACGTCCGACCAACCTCCTTCCCCATCGCAGCCCCAGGTGGAGAGAAACACCTTGATCCAGTCACTTCCCACTCCTGAGGTCCAAACCCACAAATGGCAAGGCCTTTCTGCCAATGGCAAACATTACTGAGCTGAACAAGATTAACGGACCTTCCAGAGCTGCGGCAGGACCTGGCCGAGAGCCTGTGCCCGCTCCTTGGAGGGACACGGTGTAGGTGCAGGATCAGCCCCCGCCTGCCCTTGCGCAAGCCCGCAGGGATGGGCTCAGCACCCCCAGCGACGACTGCTTGTACACCGCCTTCCCAAAGCCCTCCCTGCTCGTGTCCGTGTCTACACACATCGCTGCGCACTGCTGTACCGCAGAAGGAATCAATCCACAACAGAACATTTTAAATTCTTCCTTTTCTGTTTTTAAATGGGCAAAGAGCTATTGAGCATTTCACCGAGGAGCCCACCCCGGCCCCAAGACAGCCCCAGGACAGTACCGACATTCGCTTCCAGGGAGGTGCACACAAGCCCAGAGACTAACAGCATCCCAGGAGAAAACCGTGCATTTCGGGTTCGCTTCCTAAACTGGAGCCTGTGTGTGGAAGACAGGGAAAGCTCGCGCACCCGGCGTCCCCTGCTCCCAGCCCTGCCCAGGACACCCAACGGCCAAGAGATAAACAGCAGCCGCAGGACTGCAGCTGGTCGGGCAGGGCAGGGTCCTTAGGTTAAAATACCTTATATTTTATACTATCAGGTGTAAATTTTAGCTTAATGGACTTTACACTAATACAAACCTGTCAGGGCACTTCTTTACTGCTGTGGATTTAATCAAGTTCGTAAATTTAGCTTTGGTGTGCATATGTTCCTATATGTTTTTGAAACACTAGACAAAGTAAATGAAATCTGTGTGGCCCGACTAGCAAAATAAACCTCATTAAATGTGATCCAGGTCTCTGGCTTTAATTGTGTGAACAAAGCACAAATGAAATTTATTTACACAAGTCCTGTGGCGCCAGCGGCCCTGCCACCTAGACATCTCACAGCCTTGACTGAGGACCTCCAAACCTGCTGCCCGTGAAGCTCAGCGGATCCCACTCCTGACAGCCTCCAAGGAGCGGCAGCGAAAAATGGTGCATCAACAGCATGCTTGGAGCTATAACTTCTTCACAGTAATTATACATACATATATAATATACAAATATTTGGAAAATAAACCCTTGTTTCATCAAGCACAGGATCAGAGAAAGGACACGTACAGTGTGGTATCCTGTCTTACTCAGTGGCCAATATCGGGTAATTCAGAGGAAGCTCTAAGAAACATCCTGAAAGAGCCTGAGCACAGGAGAAGCTTGGGCTTGACCTAAACGCTCAAGTCGGAGTGTGTATTTAGGAAATTTGATAGAAAATCATGTGTACTGCAACCTGGAATTACCAGTTTATGCTCAAACCCCCAGTTATCTTCAAGAAGCAGCTGTACAAGTGGAACAAGGGGAAAAGTGTCCCCCTGGTCCTCACACACCACCTGAGGGGCAGTGCCGCTGCTTGGGCACTGTCTCACCCAGATTTTGAGGGATGTATTGCAAAAGCAAGAGAGAGCAAAACAGGGAACAGAACTTTTATTCCTGATTCTGAATGACCTTTGGTACATGTGACCGCACAGCATCACTGGCCATGATTCACAGACGACGTGGTTTCCCGCAGTTCCCTTCAGCCCAGGATTTCTACAGCATACGTCGTATCTCCTCCAACCTTCATTAAAGCCCTTTGGCCCAACTCTGCTTGCTGGTTGCCTGAAGAGCTCCATCCAGAGCCACACCAGGCCTGCACAGAGCACCCGAGACGCACAGGTGGAGACAGCCGAAGTGCTGAAGAGATGCCCAGGGTGAGCTCCAGGGGAGGGGGGAAAGAGGGGGACTTCAAACCTTACAAACCTTAGCAGCCCTAGTTCAATTCTCAGCTCCATCGAGAGCTGAATACACACGCCTTATGAGACCAGGAACGGGATGAAGCACCCAGCTGACGGGCTAAATACTGTCCAGCGCCTACACGAGCAGAAAGCAACACCTGGATGGAGCTCCAGCACCAGGGCTGCATCTCCAGGCTCTGACCTGCCGCACATGGGAAGGAGCCATGTGAAATCTGGTGATCTGGAAAGATTTCACATCCAAAGAGTACTTTCCCCATGGTCGCCCAAGACTCAAATCCAAAATTTTAATTCAACTCTTTGGAGCGCCAAGCAGGAGGGTAAGACAGCTCAAGATCTGACAGACTCCAAAACGGGAGGTTGTTTAAATAGAAGCTCAGGTCTGAAAGCAGTATTTCTCTGTATTTTCTCAAAATATTTCAGGGTAATTATCAACATTTCCTTAAG